AAAAAGAAATTTAAGAAATATTTAAAACATTGGAAGAAAAACAAAGAATTTAAGAACCACAAAAAATATTTTAAGAAGAAAAAACCTTGGAATAAGGAATATAACCAATATAAGAAGCCTTAGAAGAAATCTAAAGAAGAATTTTATAAAAAATGTAAATGTTTTACCTGTAATGCATTAGGATATATCTCTCCCAATTGTCCTAATAAAAATAAAAGGGAAAATGTTAAATCTATTAAATTAATGGAAGAAATTGAATACAATTCAAAATTTTAGATAATTGAAGATTTAGACGAATTATCCGAAACAAACTCAATTTATGAGCTTGCTATTAAAGAAATTGAGGAACCTGAATATGAACAGATATATATGAATCAAGAAATTATTGATACTGTTGAAACTACCTTAGATAGTGAAGAAGGAACTTCACAAACTGTTAAGTTTGATGAAGAAAGATATGGAGCTATAAAAGAAAAACGGATATCTTTAAGAGATAAAGATGTTTTTATTAGACCAATACTACCTTGGTTTAACAAAACTATATACTTTGCCAAATATGATGAAGTACCTATTAACATAGAAAATGTTAAGGGCAATACTACTATACCTTTAATTACAAAAGAATGAGTTAATAGAGAATTAGCAAATATTAATAGATCCACTAGAGAAAGATTAAAGAATATAGTGATTGGAGGAATCCAAATCATGACTAAAGGATACTTTAGAGAGGGAATGTATATTCCTATACAAATATATTCAATGGATAACAGGATACTTCATGATCCTATGGACAGACACTCTATTAGGAATTGTCTTTGGAAATCTTGTATATAAGAAAATTATATTTACTATAAGACCTGGATTTGCCATGTCTGTATTAGATGAAAACTTAAGTTTAGGATTAAATCTATATCACACAATTGATAGATTAAGTATGCCACCAAGAAGTAAAGCTGTAACTTTACATTGTAAAGCCTTATATGCTTTTACTACTATACACCAAAAAGAAATCAATAAAATTTCAGGAGAATTCATAGAAATTCATGAAGACTTTAAAAACCTAGCACAATTTACATCACCAAGAATGCTAAGTGATTGTAACATTTCGTTACTACAAGAGATATTACTTGATTTTCATCAACGATCTAGAAGAATAGACAGTAATGTAGGTAATCAAGGATTAGCAACTTTGAATACTTTTGGACAATTTGTAGTTAGAATGCCCAGTAGAAGAATAGAAAGAAGTATCAGTACTAGAGAACTCTCGAGTTCTAGTAGACCATCTATAAGTAGAAATTACACAACTATACCTATAAATAGTATTGATATTGATTTAAGAAAAAGTGAGGTAGATAATTTCCTTATATTAACAGAATATTTCAATAATCAAAATAACTACGAAGAAATCATAGCCCTTGTTAATACAGGAGCTTGTACTAGCCATTTAAGAGCAGACTTAGTCGATCATTTAGTAGAAGAAAATCTGCCACAAGGAATAACTCTTACAGATTATCATGGAATTAAATATGAAATTAAAACATTTGTTAATCTTGAACTAAGTTTTACTGACATAGAAGGAGAAAAATTTAAGCTAAACCTTAAAATTCATAAAGATTATAGAAAATCAAAAGATACTAGCCCAATATTACTTTTCATGAACTTTCTTGAAAAGGTATCACCATTTGTTATTCAGAAAAACATACTGCAAATAACTATTGAAGGTAAACAAAAAATGTTACCTAGAGTTAATAAAAACAAAGAATTAATTTATATGATACAAGGAATTAGATCGATCAAAACTAGTATTTTGAGCCCATATATTGAGATAACTCTCAATTTACTAGATTACTGTATGATAAGATTTCATGCAATACTTGAAACTGGATCAGGAATTTGCCTATATAAAAGAAATGTGTTCCCAGAACACTATTATAAAAGAAATTATAAGAAAACAACTTACGGTCAAACAACTAGTGATATTGTTGAAATATATAGAGGTTTTGTGGAAAATGTTCCTATTATTATTGGAAACAGAGAATGTTTTACTCCACGAATATTCGCTACAGATAAAATTGGATGTGAGGAGAAAATTTTATCTATACATATAGCCCTTTTACGCAAAATAAAGATAGTTTTGAATTTACTACACCTTAAATCACAAAATTAAAACATCCAAAATTTATAAAGCAATTGGAATTGCACATCATCCAATTAACCAGAAACCTAGATATCAGAGTTCTGCGGATAATCGTGGTGGATGTTATACAGAAATCAATCAAAAACAAAGAATTCTTGTATTAAGAATTAACAAGTTCGAAGAAGAATTAGAAAATGTTAAAATTGAACTAAAAGAATGTTATCGTGAACATCCCTTAGCGAAATAGGACAAAGATAAACCTATGGCAACCATTGAATTAAAAAATCCAGATGTTAAGATATTAGGAAAACAATTCCCTTATAGCAAAGAAGATAAAAAGGAATTTGAAATACAAATTAAAGAATTTTTAGGATTAAGAGCTATAAAAGAGTCATCTAGTCCATATAATAGTCCTGCATTTATGGTCAAAAATCATAGTGAAATTAAAAGAGGAAAAACTAGAATGGTAATCGATTATAGAGATCTAAATTCTAAAACTATATCTAATAGCTATAAATTACCAATAAATGATTTGTTAATAAAACAAATACAAGGAAGTAAATTATATTCTAAATTTGATTGTAAATCTGGATATTGGCAAATAAAACTAGACGAAGCATCAAAACCTTTAACTAGTTTCACTATCCCTAATCAATTAGGACAATTTGAGTGGAATGTTATGCCCGAGATCTAAATTCTAAAACTATATCTAATAGCTATAAATTACCAATAAATGATTTGTTAATAAAACAAATACAAGGAAGTAAATCATATTCTAAATTTGATTGTAAATCTGGATATTGGCAAATAAAACTAGACGAAGCATCAAAACCTTTAACTAGTTTCACTATCTCTAATCAATTAGGACAATTTGAGTGGAATGTTATGCCATTTAGATTAATGAATGCCCCAGCAATATTTCAACAAAGAATGGATAAGATTATTAGATCAATAAATTTTTTTTGTATTGCTTA